TATTACATATTTTTACGATGTTACTAAATTTAGTTTTTTTCTTACCGTAAAAGATTTTCGTGTAATTTTTAACTATTTTCCTTAAACAATTAATAAAGTTTCGTTTTCAATGTGGTACTTTGTGTGAATAACTTTACGCTGTAAAAATTCTAACTCGTGTAAGGAAAATATTTTTCTGCAAACTATCACCAAATGTTTTAAGTTATAAGTGGTTTCCGTTTTGAAAGTTCTAATTCAATATTGGTCTCTAGAAAGAAGTGCTAATGGCTGTATCTCGTAACAAAATCAATGTATACCCTACCATAACCAGTCTATTGGCACTGTTATGCTCAGAAACCCGAGCACTGACCAAAGAACCCGAAAAACCTTATTATTGTGTTTGAGAATAGAGTATAGAGAAAAATATATAGACCAGTTCAAGATAACAGAGGTTGGAGTATATGAAAGAACATAGAGCTAAGATAACAAGTACGGCATACTTTTTTTGTATAAATACAGTATTAGCCAAAATAAACAGTACTGAAACTGAATCAGCTGTAGTTGCCTTCTCGATCAGCTGATTCAATAGGTGATTGTTGCGACGGCTTTGCGTTCATTACTTCTTTCTTATTTGAGGTTAGTTTTTGTTAACATGGTGCTAACAACTTTAGAAAAAACTTTTATCGTAGAGCATTATTTTCGCTTATACGGAATTGGACGTGCGGGTGGTCCAAGCTTGTCACACACTGCTTTACGTTTTCAGGAACATTTCCACAAAAACCCGCCTAGTAATGCTGTGATTCTTAGTGTTGTCGAAAAATTTCGAAGAACTGGTAGTGTTTTGACACAGCGAAAGGGCTTTTCAGGTCGCCCAGTTACTGTCTGTACAAATGAAAACCACGGAAGAGTGTTGCAGCAAGTGTTACAGTCACCGAAAAGAAGTCTAATGCGAGCTTCTCTTAAACTGAATATTAGCAATACGTCAATGAGAAGAATGTTCAAAAATATTGGTGGTTTTCCCTACAGGATACAAACTGGACAACCATTGGATCGTATAAACAAACTAGCCAGAGTTCAGTACTGTGCTTCAATGTTAGCAATATGCTATGAAGAACCTGATTTTCTGAGTGATGTATGGTTTACAGATGAATGTCATGTGCACCTTAATGGTTACATAAACAAGCAGACAACACGTTTCCTTGGATTTGAACGTCCTGACATTGTTGTAGAGAGGCCACAGCATAGTAAACGTGTAACCATTTGGTGCGCTGTGTCAGGGAGGGGTATAGTGGGACCATACTTTTTTGAAGGCAAAAATGGAGAGACTGTTACTGTGAATAGGGATCGATATAGGGCCATTCTTGATCGTTTTGTGAGTGACCTCAGGAGATTTTGTCGTGCACGAAACCTGCCGTTAGGTTCACAGTGGTTCCAGCAGGATGGCGAAACCAGTCGCACTGCCGTTAACAACATTGCTTTCCTCTGACAAACCTTTGGCAACCGTCTCATCTCCCTTAGAACAAACTTTCCTTACCCAGCCCACTCCCCCGATCTTACAACACCGGATGCTTACGTGTGGGGAATGTTGAAAGAAAACATCTTCCGTGAGGACCCACCATCTACCATCGTTCAACTCAAAGAAAAAATAACCATGTGTATTAGGAGAATGGAACAACCCCTATTCATAAAAATGGTGCAAAACCTACAAGAACGGTACGAGTGTTGCCTCAAACTGAACGGGGCTCATATTGAACATGTTATTACCCGTGTTTAGCCGATTTTGCTTCCTTTGACTTATATGTATTGTTAAAATTTATACATAAAATAAAAGTATTACCATTAAAAGTATTAAAAGTATTTCAGTACTGTTTATTTTGGCTAATACGTATTTAGATATAGGGATGTTTTCCAAAATCAAAAGGCTAGGGTGAACAGGCTATGCGTGTATGAAAGAATATACATCAACTTTTAAAAGTAGATTCTGAGGAATACCATAAGGTGGATAACCACTTGGAAGACCAAGGATGAAGTGGAAAGACCAAGAAGTGAATGAAGTCACCAAACTGGGGTCTACATTGGAAGACCAGGTGAAAGAAGGAAGTATATGTGTTTTGTTAGTTGGCGAGGCCAAAAACCACTTAAATTTTCAATGGCCACGGAGGTAAGTCAGTGAAACGTATTCAATGGAAGGTGGTATGTAACTACCTATAACAAGTGTGGAAATCAGCCCCCAATTTCACTTAAAGGCTTTTTTTACATCGACAAAGTTGATATTTTATTGTTACATAACCGGATTTAAAATGCATACCTTATCTAATTGGATGATAAAGCAAATGACCATGCAACATTTATTTACAAGGTAAATTTTCACTTTAAACTGTTAAAATTTGCCTTTATGTAAATTATATTTTTGTCTGCAACTCTTGAAAAAATCTAACTCAAAATTATTAAACCAGCTGCTCTGAGTTATACACAGTTTTAACTAACTTTATCCCGGTGCGGAAACGGGTACACAACTAGTTTTCATTATATTACGTAACCGTAATTTTCCGACAGATATTTCGTTATCTAATAAATACGAGTATTTACAATTTAAAATTTCTCACACATGCAGTTTATAGCTCCCATGATGGTAGAAGACTGTAAGTGAAATATATATATCAATGCAGCATAGTATCACTGATTATAGTACCCTACGTGAAAAATACACCGATTGGGCATAAGCCTACCAAATACCTGGATAATTAAATTTAATTTATTTTTTATACATGTGGAGACAAACTGTAAAAGCTTGTGACAGTTTATAACATAAAGTAAGGTTCCTACATTAGAGGAATCACTATAAATCAATAAAAATATTTGGAATTAGGATTAGTTATACTATTTTGTATATAGTGTTACCTAGTTTCAAGACCTTATTATAAATACTGGTATTGTAGACATTCTGAAGATGTCTCAATGATGCGAAATGTACATCAACATCAAGAACAAAAGGCTACAACCAAATATAAAAAGATATCTTGTTATTTTTACAAATCGTGCACTTTGGTGCCCTTTCTGTGATTGGGTGTTTATCAGTGAAGGCTTGGTAGGAGGTCGGTGGATAATCACCACCAGCAGAGGAGCAGATAGGTACAATTATGTCGTTAACACTGTAATCTTCCAGAACAGCAAGTGTTCTTCACTAGCACATCAATGAGGGTGGCTTTAATATGTTTAGTAAATCTATCGTTATTTATACACGATGCAACCAATTTAATTTCAACCTGGTTGAATAACAGTTATATTATCTAGAAGATAATTTATGGCCTATAAGAATAACATTCTAAACAAACTGCAGAACGTAAGAATACTACGACCTTAAAAAAGTATAGTAAAACTATTTAGAACTATATATAAATATATATCGTTCATATAGTTAGCATAACAATGCTAATGAATGATTTTCATTTATAGTCTGCACCACAAAATCTACTTTGGAGGCACATACAATAGGTTTACTCCAAAATGTAGTTTTATATTTTATGGGGTACAGTATTCACTTGATTTTATAATAAACTAGCTGAGGACTCGTCCTTCGTATGGGGTTGGTGTATAAGTATAAAATGCTTATTGCAGTTATACTCGTTCTTTGCGTTTACAATGGGAGAGGACACGGTTTAAGAAAATTTGGTTCTTTTAATTTACGCTATGCTATAGTATATATAGCACATCTACCACTGCCTCTAAACAATAAAAATGTGAAATTCTCATTTTTCACAGTTTATTGTTGATAGTTGGTTAAAATTAGATATTGTCATAAATGCAAAAAGAAAAATAATAGTGCTGCACCTTGTTGGTAAACCTTATAAATTTGTAATGTTTTAATATCATAGAACCATCTTGTGTAGTTGAAACAGCTGACAAAATTCTTTTATCTATATATTAATAGGCAAGCATGTTTCTTTAAAACCTTTTTTCTCAGCTCGTGTGTATCGTAGGGAAAATCTACGCATACCGTTAGAAAACTATTTTCCTGTAGGTGTGCAGAATCCCTTTATAAATTAAAATAGGATCAAAAATAAGCACAAAAAATGAATTTGAAATTTTAAAAAATTAACATGGGTGTTATGGGTTGCTATGGTGATGACAAAATAACAACACAATATAAACAGAAAATCAAAACAAATGGAAGACATTCCAATCACATGTTTTATTTACAGTGTGGGATGAAAATAGAGAAGTTTGTACAATACATACTTTTGGTCGATTTTTCGACCACGGGGCGTGCTCTCGTTCCTTTTAAATATGAATACTAATAAGGTTAACATGTGAACTCCATAGCCACTGGGGTCGAGCCCGAAAGGATTTTCTAGATAAAATGTGTCTATATGTTAATCGGAAGTGTGAGCTATCATCACACCAAATTTCAGCCCAATCCGACCAGTATTTTTCGCGTGTACTTATCACAAACATCCATCCATCCATCCATCCATACATCCAAAATTACTCACTTATAATATTAGTAGGATACCCACGTAAAGTCATGAGGCTAATTAAAAATATGTTTTCAATCATCTCGACATTTCAGATAGCCACCATACAATTAAGTGTTTATGCTACATTCTCTATGACTAGATCTGTCAACTAGAGTTCAATAAGAATTGCCATTCGAGGGTTCAAGGGTTAAAACAGAGAACCAGTGTAGATGTGGCAATTTTCTATGTAGTTTCAGTTTTAGTTGTTAATACGCATTCAATAAACGCTATAAGCACAATATAAGAACACAATACTACTAAAGTTTTATTAAAAGTAACATAAAAAAACTATTTAAGAATATAATTGTAAGTATCTGTCCAGCACTGACAGTCAAGTGAAATATTTATTTGAATTATCAGCTACAGTTGTGGCCTCATTACACTAATCATCACTTCACTTACATTGCCAACTTGCAAAACTTTATTATTTTCGCTAAGCACTGGGAAGCGGAAGAGTCAGTTTTGTAACAGTCAAAAGTTCGCACCCCAGTGTTGTAAGTGTTGGTGACGTCAGAGGACCAAGTCCACTCACACACGAGACCCTCTACATTCTAGAGAGTATAGACTTCAGTCAGTGTTGGTGCGAGGTACAACTGGCACCGCATCACTTGTGTTCCCTCTTGTACACTGTTTATAGGTAAGATCTTTGACTATCACTAGAAGTAGACATCCTTTGTAGGTCGCAGACAGCTTTAACAAATATTTTTGAAATTGAATGACATTGATCAAACGCGCTGTTGTCAAATACTGATTTTTGTCAAACGTGTCTTTTTGTCAGGCCTACTCTTTTTAACCAAACATAATTAAAAATTTAACCATCGTAAACAATATTATCTTCTATTTTACATAAACTAATGTAATACTAAATATCCTCACCGCGGCAAATCTGCAGACAGCGAATTTCATTTGCCTAATTGGATTAATACTACAATATGTCCATAAACAATAAATATTTATTTCCCATTTAAGTAACATTAGATTTCAAGTGTGCTTAGGTTTGCTGCTATGGGGGAGGTAAAAAGTGTTTTCCCGCCAAAGACTAATAGCATAGGATGAACTAAATAGATTTGCAAGATTTTATCAACATATATCCTTAAATAAGCAACCTTACAACAGATTTAAACTTACAATAATATGTTACTTAGTTTCCATAAGAATAGGCATTTTAAACTTTAGAATTTTAGAATTTTTCCGTAACCAAATAGTGTAAAAAAACTTAAGTTTCAATAATTTGAACAAATAGTGTTTTTAGCCTCTGGGAACATAAAATGAAAAAGAAAATCGGTCCCGGGCCTAGCTCTTACCGTGCCACCTACGGTAATAACTACTTCCGTATAGAGAAATACGCTTAAGCTAAGTAGGGAATAGAATACACTCTGTAATTTTGTAATTTAGTAATTCTTCAATGTTTTATTTCAATTAAACAATTGGCTACATAACAGTTGGTCTGCATTGATAGGGCAACTATTTCACTATCCAAACATTAATGGTGATACTGTATTACACTTTGTGTTAATAGAAAAAAAAACAATTTAACAAAATGTGGAGTTTGTTTAACATTGACACAAACTTTTTTTATTTTAAAAATACTCGTAGGATCCAATTCTAAGATACTGAAATCATAATGAGCCTGTACATACGAAATTTGTTTGAAATTATTATTTTACCTTCTTCATCCCACGTAAACATTTTAAATCTCGTGCAAGCCAACTAAACGTAACAAACAAGATTGTATTCAGCAATGACAAATAGTTTGAAAGGCCAAACAAAAATAATATGTATCACAATTTTCTATCATTACATCATTTTTATGAATATATATATATAATATATATGTATATAATATTTATGTATATAATATATACGTTTATAATATAAATATGTATAATCTTGAGCAATGTCGAGTATCAATAATTCAAAGGTGTAGTGGAGCGAGTTGTATATTCAAATTATCTAAAAATAACATGCAGACTAAGCTTACTGTTTGTAGATCAATTCCCTCTTGTTGGAATCATTTTGCTATGTTTGTTTTATGTCAAGTATGTATTTTCTTAGAAAGGAATACAGTTTACTGTGTTTCAATATGCCCACAATACATGTAGTCTAATATTTCATAAAGAAGATTCCTTGTTATTTACAGAACGTCAGTGACATTTTATCTAAGTGGCTTACGATCTTATTGAATTTGTCTAGGCTTTGATAAGTGTAAATGATTTACGTAAGGGCTAAGGTACAGAGCAACGATTACTGATACAATAATTTTAATACGTAAAAACAATAGATTTTAATTAGCTTAAAATGTCGATTAACCAAACCCATTCTAATTCTGATAAAATTAAAACCAAAAGCAATTTGTTTTTATTTGATCTTTTAATGGGTTGTAAGTTTTTTTTTATAAGTACAAACATATTACAATCTAGCGGGGTCAAAATCTATCACAGTTTTATCCATTCTGTATTCTTTCATCACATTCTCTTTATGAAAACCAGCTTTTCTAGTGTACATTTATAAGGTCTAGAATAACAGCTTCTGCAAAAGTACAAATAAACAACGTGCCCTACGAACAGGTTGCTATTTTAGAAATATTATACAATACCAAACATTTGGAATATGTTACAAACTCGAAACTCTACAGTTTTAGTAAATCCTTATGTAAGAAGATAACCCCTCAAATCTCAATTAATTGTGATTAATAAAAAAACGCTGGACCAACTAAAAATAACAATACCCCCACCGCAGCAAACCTGCAGACTAAGCGAATTTCCATTTGACTGATTGGATTTACACTGAAATGTCTACTTAAAAATATAACATTTATTCCCGATTTAAATAGAATGAGTTTAACAAGTACTTAGGTTTGCTGCATCAGGGAGGGTAAAACTGTTTTTTTTTTTTTTGTAAAATGTTAATAGTTAGTAAGAAATAAAAACATTTTCCAAATTTGATCAAAATATGTTCATAAACTAGCAAACTACAACAGTTTACTCATTCTCCATAATAATAACATGGGAATTTTAAATTTACAATTTTTTGGAATTTTCTCCGTAACCATTAGGCGCATAATAACGCTTCAATATACTAAATTATTTGTTTTTTGAAGCTCTACAAAATGGTTTGGAAATAAATTGCTAAATTTTATGTTTTTTGGGTCAAAAATGGGAAAAACCTATTTTTACTCCATAAAACCCCCCGTAAACACCCGTTCCCATGGTCCGATCATGCTGGATCGCGAACTCGTTCGAATAAACGTAGGTTTACACGTTTGTACCAAATTTCATCAAAATCGGATCATTTTTGCTCGAGTTATCGTGCTGACGGACACACACACACACACACATATATATATATATATATATATATGAATTTGAACGGATGGTGTTTTTGGCCTCTAGGGACCTCAAAACGAAAAAAAAATCGGTCCCGCGTCCAGGTCTTACCATGAGTACTACGGTAATAGCTTATTCCCTATATGGGAAATTCGCTAAAACTAGAACAAATAAAAGTTTTGAGAATAGACATACTTATATTTTTAGAATAGGAACAGCATATAATATATCAATCACTGTGACTGCCGTAAAAAATCAATAATAAACATTCGCATTTGCAGTTGAGTTGTATTAATTTGAAATTGGTCTGTAAATAAAATAAACTCAACGACAGCGTACCATTATATTTATGCTCTTCTTAGTACTTCTAGAGATAATATACAAATTGGTATAAACTGATATACTTTTATTGATTGCTCAAGAAGGTGATCTCCACACGTTCATTTTTCAAGTGTTGGCCTTTATATTACCAAAGTCAACACCACATTCAATACGTCTATTAAACACGTAGTTAACCACTTAGCTACTAAATGTGTATGCAAGATAGATACATACATTAAACATTCGTCCTGCATTCTTATTCGCCCTAAATATATATATAGGTATTCTAAATGTTACGCTACTGGTTTTTTTACCCAAATGTAAGTAACTCATAATAGGTATAAAATGAAGTGAAATGACTATGTGTAGCTTAGTTACTGACTAGATCAGCTGTCTCTTCAGCCAGGGTCGTTTATAAAAAGCCCATGCAAAGCTAGGTCTAAATTCTAACCAATCAAAAGTTTCTGCATTTTCTCAGGATCGAATTGTGACACTTTGATTGTTAGGCGTGTACCACAACCCCTAAACTATCCAGCTACTTTAAGCATATCCTAAATATCCATATGCCAAGTGATCTCCCATAGAGTAAGTTAGATACAGAAAATATGGTCAAACTAATAATTGTAGTTGTAAGTCTGAGTCAGAATGGTTACAACTTATAAATGGAAACCAAAGTCCAGGTTGCATTTTTGGATGTACTGTATATAACGTAAGTTTATGTCTCAAGTTTAAATTAACCATAGGCCTATTATTTCCTAGTTTTGGCGAATTTAACTATATAGGGAAACAAATTATTTAAAATGATAAATCGTTGGTGTACAATTTATGGTTACAGAGAAACTAAAAAAAACCTGTTAATTTAAAATGTCTAATTTTTTTAGAATTAATAAACTGATTTAGTTTATTGTTTATAAATATATTTTGATTCAATGTATATATTTGTAAATGTGTTTTCTAAATTTTATACCCAGCCATCAACATTTCACTAATAACACACTTGCTTACCTTACATGTTGAAGTGAACCTAAGTACTCAACATGATTAATATTATTTAGATTGGTTGATATTATTGAAATGCTACTTTTTTAGGAAGTATTTGAGTGAAAATTCAGCCACGTTAAGGAAAATGCCCTTAGTCTGTAGGTTTGCTGAGGCAAAAGTATTTGACAAAATCGGTACTATAAAAAGTATAATGAATATTTCCCGCTGTTGTAACTTTAATGTTAGCTTTACAGTAAAGCATAATAGAGGGTGAAAATATATATAAAAAGGTTACATGAGTATATATGGGTCAAAACCCAAAACTAAAACGCTCGAAGCCTTTTTTACTATCTCAAGGCTCTTAGTGATAAACAAGGTTATTATTCTCAAGGTTTCGAGGTCACTCAGTAGTTCAATCATACTTTTGTTAGATAAACATTCTTGAGATATAACAAACTAAAAGATTGCATTCAATAATCATTACTTATTTAAACGATTTAAATCTTGATCTGGGTAAGATTGATACCTTATACGTTACGGGATAAAGGTATTATTTGTAAGAAAAAGGTTTATAAAATCTTTGTCTGACCTTACACGAGAATGAGTTTTAAACAAAATGTTTTCTTTATACTTTTAACTCGAAAACTTAAAACAAACAACGCCTAAGTAAGATATGAAATTATGAAAAATAATGTATTAACTTAATGAATGAATACTTTTTTAAAATAGCATTAACTATAGCATCAAGTGACATAAAAGACAAAACGTAGGTAAAGGATTGATTAAACAGATCGTTACTTGGTACTATTACGCGCAACAGGGTGATTATCAGATCATTATCCTGGAAACTCAACCTCCAAGTACGAATATCAATGTTAACGGCAAGAAACTAATCTTATTAAAAGTTGTCATTGAAACACATTCGCTCAACAACGAGATGTCATAAAAAGCAGCCGGTTCAGCTTATTGTTTCTCCAAACGTTGATGTGAAATAATTAATTTTAGAGGA